AGCACATTTCAAATTTCAAGTATGAGAACCTCTCTGTGCTGTCCCTTTCAGTCCCAATAGTGAGGAAGTTGACAACTGGAATCTTCAAGAGATGAGTCTAGTAGGAGACTGGACTTCAGTCCATTGGTAAGCACAGCCTTATGGAGACTGTGGGAGCCTAATCTCTTCCTCTTCCGTGTCCAAGACACGGAACGAGTGATTTGGCTTTGCCCCATGCTCCTGCCATGATGTGCTGCCACAAGCAACAGGGCCAGCTGACCATATGCTGAAATCTCCACTGTTGTGCCAAAATCCACCTTTAATTTTAAAGTTTATTATCTTAAGCATGTGTCATCGCTCTAACAGAACACTGTCTGATGCAAGTGGTCAGGACTTGTTACTTTTACTTTTAATTTGGCAAAACTGTAAGAGCATGAACTCATGATGTCTAGCAGGACTAGTCAAATGTGGCATTACATCCAATCCCACATTATGTGTGAATGATCACACATATCCAGGAACAGGGAGTGGGTCCCATGTGTCTTTGACAAGTGTCATCTTCACCTCTAGGCCTGTGGATCATCTGTGAGGGGGCCAGCTGCTTCCCCTGGAAACTGAGAGACCTGAGCACCAGGATTTTTATCTGACATTACAATAATCTGCCTCTTTCAGATAGACACATGTGGCACTGATGACAAGCACTTTACATTTCCATCCTCTTCACTCAATTCTGCTCTTGTCTGAACTGACAATAAGTATCCTATGGCCATCTGAATGTGTGTTCCCCTCTGCCATCTGCCATGCCTGGAGGTTTCTGACTTTGGGAATAGGACAGAACATCAGCAGGACATCAGATGTGAGTCAGTGAGCTCCTTATTGCTGCAATAATTTGCTACCATCCTTGCGTCTTGGCCTACCTGGTTCTGAGTGTTTCTAAGCAGGTTGGAAGGTACTTGTCAAACAGAATGGTTAGGTGGGCTCTCTCTGTCTGCATTTCCCTCTGATCGATCCAGCTGCTCACGGGAGGGTTCCATCCCAGGTCTGCAGGGTTGATATATAAGATTCCTGAGAGAACAGAGGACAGTGCGCAGTGAATGTTCAATGTTCACCAATATATTCTTCACCCTAGGGAGTTATTGTCTCCCTTTAGGAATATTCAGAAGACTGAACTTAATAGATACTTGGCCTATGTTAGAGGGGACATGTGGCTTTGCTAATTGGGGACCCAATATCAATTGGTAGATGGCAGATGAGTGTAGATCAGTGTTGCGAAGGATCCTAAAGCCAGGGCTAGGTTCAGAAAGAAAGACTGCTGTGATTTATCAGCAATACTGGTTGTGGAAAGAGAACATTCAGTGAGCTGAACGGAGGTCCATGATCTGACTCTTGAACCTTGTCAAGGTGACTTCATTTGGAAAAAATGGGCTGCACAGATGTTAATTAAGTTAAAGATTTGAGATTACCCTGGGTTATCCGAATGGGTCAATCACAAGGGTCCTTATGGGAGGCAGAAAGAAAAGGACTCCTATAGATGAGACAGGGCCACAGGCCAGGGAGCACTTCTGCTGCAAGAGGAAAGGAAGAAGTCTCCCCAGAGATTCAAGGGGATGCAGCTTTGCTGATGTTGATACTCACATCTGATTTCTCAAAATGGGAGAGAATAAATTTCTGCTGTTCCAAAAGCCAACAGGTTTACGGTGACTTGTTACACCTATTCCATGGGGACTAGAAGGCTGATGCAGAGTGGGAGATAATTCCTATCCTGCACACACAGGTCTCAGCAGAGGCCCACAAGGAGGTACTAGTATAGATATTAAAATTTTATTTTTTTCACTATTTTTATTTGGTTATTTTATTTAAAAAGTCTAAACTATTTTTATTGTTTTTAAAATTCAATTCAATTTTATTTTGAAGAGTAAACACAAAAAAGCAAAAACTAATAGGATGGCATATAACAACACATATGTTAGAGATCTTCAAAACAGGAATAGCCAATTAACAATAGTTGATATATTATCTATTTTATTGTCAAATCTATTGCTCAGATTAACAGATATAGTTATGCCAGATTGGACAAATAATTGATTATTAACACTTGCTTTCAAGAAATCTTAATTTTTTTCCTTGATTTAAAAAAATATTTTAAAGAGAGTATAATAATTGATGAGACATTAGAAACAGTATATATTTAGAAGACCAAGATGAGAGTTATTCAACCATGGGTTTTGCATTACATATTGCTGTCCTTGATGTAGTTGCTCAGATCACAGCTGAAACTATTATTAAATAAAAAAATTTTCTTAGTACATATTTATAATATATAATGATTCATCATGGGGAATTAATACATACATGTACAAAACAGATGTTAATTCTTAGCTCTTTTTCCTCTTCCTCTGCCCTTCACCTCGGATCCCTTCCCAACTGAAAAATCCTTTTTTAGCTTTATTCAGGTGGAATTGATGTACAAAGCCCTGTGCATATTTAATGGATCCTGTTTATGGAATCTGGGTCTGTGCATTCCCCTGTGGCATCATCTCCAAGACCAGGTAATAAACATATCCATCACCCGCAAACATTTCTTCATATTCTATTCCTTGGTTTGTATTTGTGTGTGTGTGTGTGTGTGTGTGTGTGTGTGTGTGTGTGTTAAGAACACTTAAGCTGAGATGCATCTTCCTAAAAAAAAGATGTTCTACAGTACACAGTACAGTATCGTTAACAATCAGCTCTGCATAGCACACATATTTCTAAATTTATCCATCCTGGGTCACTGAGACTTTGTACCTTCGGAACATCTCCTGTTTACTCCTTTCCCAGGCTTTGAAAACCACTATTCCATACTCTTCTTTCTTTCTTTTTTAAAAAATCTTTTATTATATTTATTTAGTACAAGGTCTCACTAGGCAGGTTGGACTCATAGTGATCTTCCTGTCTCAGCCTCTTCAGCACTGGGATTACAGATGACCACTACCATGCCAAGTTTGGGGTTCCTGGGCCAGCATGGCATGCCATGCTGGGGATGGAACCCCAGTCCTTCCACTTGCCAGGCAGGGGCTTAGATTGCTGAGCTATCTCCACAGTCATCCATACTGTATTTCTTTAGGATTGGTTATATTGTCAAGTAGGTCCTTTTTATCCTCTAATCTCTGCTAATAAATTTAATCATAGGGATAGAAGAAATTTATGTTAGCACTGGTATTTTCCACTAAGAGTTAATGAGTTATGGCAATAGTTTGTCATCTCCATTGAGTTGGGGTTTGCCTTGGGGGTTGAGTTGTTTGCCTTGAGGGATGTGGATTAGGGCTGCGAACCAGGCCAGAGCTTGGTGATCAGGCTTCTGGACCTTGGGGAGCCTGTCTCCACTGAGCAGCGTGTGCTGTGGGTCCTCACCTGCTCTGGAGACAGTTGCTGGAGTGGCTGTGCGCAGGTGGCTGATCTCAAAGAGGAGCCGCATGCTGGGGTTGAGAGGGATCCTCTCGTTGCTCGCCAGGGTCAGCACCTGGGGAAGGCAGGGAAGACATCCAACAGAAGGGGAGTTGGGAAGCCCTGCCAGTTGGAGGGATTGCTGGATTCTTGTCAGGGTTGTGGATGTGTGGTGCTTCGATTACATTTCTTATGTGTTGGACACAGTCCCTAATGCAACAACACTAAGATGTGGAACCTTGCTGAGTTGATGAGGCCATGAGGCTGCCACTCTCATAAACTGATTAGTGCTAACTATAAAAGGCTGTGGGACTGAGAGTTTTGTCAATTGCTTTCTTTCACATCTCGTTCCTGTGTGAGATTGCACAGGAAGAGGGCCCTTACTAGACGTGGTCCCTTCTGGGATTCTCCAGCCTCCAGAACCATGAACCAAATAGATATCTTTTTTTTTTATTAAATAAATCATCTAGTCCATAGTACTCTGTTATAGTAGCACAAAACAAAATCCAGATGACAATTTTTTTCTTTTATGTTATTTTCTGCAATGCCACTATCTCCCCTGTATCTCTCTCCCCAATCCCACTTTCTTGTCCTTTGTGTCTATGAAATCAGGAAAAACTACTATTTAAACTGTTTCAATTGACATCAGTAATTCAAATGAACTAGGCCATATTGTAGTAATAAAACCATAAAAAGAAAAGTGCTTCAGTTTCCCATTGCTGTTCTTCCTTCTTAGTATCCCACTGGGATAGCACACATTTATTCTAATGATGCTGTGAAGGTCAAAGCCATTTCAACACTTCCAATCTGGACGTGCCTTTTGCACAAGTCTAGGAGTAGCTATCAGCTTAATAGCCATTTTGCAGGCTTTCACTTAATTTTCTTTGTTTATAAAAAATAACATGAACTCTCAATGGATGAATATTTATACTGCTATGGAGTGTGTTCGATAGGCTGAGTGTTTCTGATGCTTCGTTTCCTTACTTATAAGAATTAGAAATAGGAAAAAAGATTCGAACAGATGATTTATAATTCTTTTCAGATCTAGAGATAAAGTGAGTCTTCAGGAAGAACCTTCTGAAAGAAATTACAGTCTTTGCCAAAGGTGAGGAGGGCAACAGTAGTAATACCACTGGAGCGGGTCGTGGCTGCAGGTGAGAATGTATGAGCTTTAAGGTGCCTGCCACAGATGCTTGTGGTAGTTGCTAACTGTTGTTCAACCATCATATGGAATTTAGATAACAAATGTGCTTGCCACGCTGGAGAACAAGCTTAATAGATGATTAGAATTGATGTGGGGATCCCGGTCGCCTTTCATACCTTGTTGTCATCCATGACAGTGTTCAGGGACTCAATCCACATTGGGTCTATGTCACCATCCAGTAAAATCCACTTGGGTCCATCGTGGGTAATGTTGGCAAGATCCCGCATGATGGAGGAGAACAATCCTGAGAGGAATCACCAATTGTTTATTTTCCATGTCACCATCTGTTCCCATTTTCCTAGCATAACTTCCCCCCATGGGCTACCACAATCAGCAGGAAGTGTAAATAGAGAAGGCACAGCAGACCTGGCTCTGTATCATTTTTTTTAAAAAAGAGAATTAAAAATAGTGAAAAAAATAGAAATGATACAGAATTTCACTAAACAAAATTATAGGACTTCAACAATGGCTGATGTATTGCATTCTTACCTTCAAATTAGTCACTCAGATTACCTGATGTAAGCATGCAAAATTGATCAAAATGATGAAAATTTATAAAGGAGAGACAAAAAATTAAGTATTAACTGCTCCTTTGAATAGACCAACAGAAATCAGCAGTACGCTTGTCAAAGCTATACTGCGTGCGCGCGCGCACACACACACACACACACACACACACACAATTTTTCCTTTCCTGCTTTCTTTTTTTCTTTCCTCATCCCAGTTGTTTCTTCCCTTTGAACAGTTTGTTTGCCTTTCACAATATCTATTGTATGTTTCAGATTTTATTTACTCTTTCAGGTTCTTATACTAGGGGGACAATATGATATTTACACATGTGGGTCTGTTTCATTTCATTTATGAGTATAGTCTCTGGTTGCATCCATTTAGCTATAAAAGCCTCAAGTTTATCCTTTTTATAGCTGAGTAATACTCCACTGTATAAAAATATAACAGCATTTTTATCCATTCCTCAGTTGATGGGCATTTCAGTTGTTTCCAACGTTTAGCTGTGGCAAATTGCATTGCTATAAACCTGGGTGCACTTACACAGCCGTGGTATGATATTTTCATTTCTTCTGGAAAAATACCCAGGTGAGGAATATCTGGCCCTGTTTCGTGTGGTACCAAAAATGTGACAGTGCCAAGGGTGCATTCTGCAGTACTGGACTTGCTTCCTAACAGCCACAAGAACCACAGAACAAATAGCAGCAGAAACACCTGATAGTACAAGCCTTTTAAGTGACAAAGGACCCAGTGAATCATTTCAGCTTGTTGTTGTAAAATAAGCTGAACCACTTTTTCTTAGGTGAAGTTTTCATCCTTCATAATTGCAGCCCTAGACAATTTTGCTTAAAATAGGTTTTGCATGAAGACTCAGTGTGACTCTTACTGTGAAATTGTGACATGAAATTTGTGCATTAATTGGTACAATTGATCTTTGTGATATTATACTTTCCCAGTCGATAATATAATATGTCCTTTTATTTATTCATATATTTTTTATGTTCATAATAAAAATTTACAGTGTTTTAACATATCTCTTAGGCTAAATGTATTCCTAAATATTTCATAGCTTTTAATGTTCTTTTTCTTTTCTTTCTTTTTTTTTTTGTATTTTAGGGAAGGGTCTTCAGGATGTTCAGGGTCTCACTACTAGATGGGCCTTGTAGTGATCTACCTGTTTTAAAGCCTCCCAAGAGCTGGGATTACAGATGTGTGCCACCATGCCCAGTCTCAATTGCCCTCTCAGCTTGTCCCAGGGACAGGCTGACGCGGTAGGCCTGGGGATGAAACCCACGGTCCCTACACCTGCTTGCAGGTGCTTTAATCCACTGAGCTATTTGACTGGCCCTTCAAAGCTTTTCCTTACAGGCTTTAGTTGTGTTCCATATATTTTGTATGAAGTATTTTTTCTCTTCTTCTTCTTCCTCCTCCTCCTCCTCCTCCTCCTCCTCCTCCTTTTCTTCCTTCTCCTCTTCATCTTCTTCCTCTTCATTTAATTCTCACAATGGCTTATATTTATGTACAACACTTTCAGGGAGTTATGTCAAGGAGAGTAGTTCTTTTCATTTTATTCAATTTTCTTTTTGATTCAGATGTAGGGAAGCATTTGATTTACAGGTATATAGTAAAATTAATTTGGCTTATTTTCTTGCTAGTTGTTTATCAGACAATGTGGTCTATAATTTGATACTTTAGAATTCAAAATAGGTTCCTATACAGCAAACTAAGTTTTCCATGTTTGGAAATGTTCAATGGCTCAACCTTGAGAGGAGTATTTACTATTTATAGGATGCAAAGTTCTACAATTATATGTTATTTTGAGTATGATGTTTCATTTACAAATTGCTCTATGCATATACTTATTGTTAGAACTATCTGCCTTTGTAAAAGTTATATTCTTATAGCTCACTATATTTTTATTCTTAGTCAAGTTTTTCTAAATGTTTTAAAAGGCTATAGTACATTTTTTGAAGATATACCGTTTAATCTATACAGATTTATGACCACTATTTCATCTTTGTCAGTTTCCTCAAATTTAACATATAAAATTGATAGCATTTCATTTAGAATTTTAAGAAAGCAAAATGTTAACTTTATTATGAAGCTTAAATTTAACATGGAAAACAAAGCACCTGAGACTGTAAAATAAAGCTCAAACACTGAGGTTCAACTTACCTCATCAGACATTAAAATATACTGCAAAATGATCGTAACTTGAATGAATGACATTCGTATAGGATCAGATATATTGGCGAGTGGAACATAACAGAAAGCTTGGAAGCAGATCTCAGCGTGTATAGAATTTAACAAAGGACAAGCTGGTGTTTAAGTTAAGAACGAAAGGATGGTTTACTTATAGATGGTGCTGGCACAATCAATTATCCATCTGGGAGGAAATAAAGTTGATTTTCTACTGCATCTCATACTAAGCCCCAAAATAAATTCCAGATGGATAAAAAATGTTAATGTAAAAAGGATCCTTATTGACCAAATTTATAATACTATATCTGTAGCTGAAAATTAGAATTATAAACTAAATAGGAATCCCAGATGCTAAAAAGACTAGTCAGACATAATTCTTTTTTAAAATAGTCCATGGTAGAATACGACATGAAGTGTCTATAAGCAAATAATTGCTGGGGAAGCATCATTAGTAATTCTTGTGACAAGTGAAGAGTTCATTCCTCTGATTAGAGAACTCTAACACACTGACACAAAATAATAAGAGGAAATAAAACACAGAAGAGAAAATTACTGAGACGAATAAGAAGGAAAAGATGCTAAGCTTCAGTAATAGTCAGTGAAATAAAAATTAGAGATGCTGCTTATTACATTCCCTTCCTCTAGGCCTCTGACTGAAGTTTTTAAATTAAAGAAGAAATACAGTTAAGCTGTTAAGAGTCAGATGATGACACTGTAGGAAAGGGAGGTGAGATTTCCTCATTCCGGATGCCCAGAGTAAATGTGGATCTGGAACCCTCTGAATCTCTGTGGACATGAGTACAGCCCTTGGAACCCTCCTGTGATTGGCAAGAAACTGTCAGCATCACCAGGGGCCAGGCACAGGGTCCCTAGCATGCAGCTCCTGCATCACCCGCAGGACAGTTTCCACAGGGGGAGAGAGGTGTCTCTACGTGATGCTGGTCTGCTGCACTTCTTTAGGAATGGGACTTCTCTGACTTGTGTGTACCTTATATCTATTGCCAGACAGTGGCTTAAGCTCCACTCAGCAAAACAAAATTGAATTCCTGACTGCTTTCCCCTGTTCCAAATGATGAAGTCCTCTCCAGCAGACAGCTGAAAGAAGTCACTGAGGAGGGAGCCCACCTGCTAGGTGGAGCGTCCCCACTCAGCCAAAACTGGCTACTTCCTTTCTGCTGATCTTCTCACAGCCTCCAGTGACCCCAAACAGGCCCCCTTCAATGTTCTTTACTCTGCAGATCACCCCACTGCACCCAGGCATGTCCAAGGAACTCTGAGGAGAACAGGAACTTTTTCTTTGGGGGATCCCACTCTTACCATCCTTCCATTCTCGCGTGGCTGGATTGATGATGCCAAAGAGTTCATCATTTGTGACTGCTTTGGGATTGAGGTCAGTCCAGACGGGGCGGCGTTTCATATTCTGATAGGTCTTGTGCAGGGATCTCAGCACTTGTGATTTGCCAGTGCCAGCGCCACCCACCACAAACACAGAGTGCCGCACTGCCAGCAACTCCTCCAGCTGGACCACCTGGGGAGACAGGAAGGCAGCTGGTGGAAGGGCTTGCGTGAACCATGCTGCTGTCTGAAGTGAGATCCTGTCCCAAGTGAGGCAATGTCAAGAGGGGAGTGCCTTGAAGAGGTGGATTACAGTAGATGATCCTTAAGTCAACTGGGGAGTGTGTTTTCAGAGTGATTATGGCACTTCCTGTGGGACTCTTGAAGACAGAAGTGGGAGAAGAGGAAGAGGAGGATGAGGAGGAGGGAGAGGAGGAAGAGGAGGTGTTGTTGTTGTTGCTGTTGGTGGTGG